AAGAAGGAGTTTGAATGCGCTTGGGTGAATGCAATGCCTGAGGCACCTTGTGGTGTCTCAGATTTGAGGAAGGTCGGAGGGCACAGTTGTGTTGCAGGAGACTCATACTTGGGTTCACTTTGGGTGGGAGGGTATCCACTTCCCGATTGGGTCAAGCTACGCTCGTTTGACAACCAAGCAGACGTCCATTGAAGTAGGTCGGAAGACCAGAATTTGAGCCCAGTCTACCTCTTTGTTTGTCCGGTCTTGCGGATTCACAGGTGGGGTTTCCAACCTTTGATTGAGTTGTCATGCATCGGCCGGGCTTGCTTTGAGAACCCGTTTCATTGGGCCGTGCATTCAAGTTCAGCCGCTACTCGGCGCACGTTGCGAGGTCTCTCCGAAGGAATTCCTGCACTGGCTGCGGCAAGGCTCCGACCGCGCCCAAGCCCTCACACGGACGAAGCTCGGTCAAGCAGTTCTTAGGAACATATGTGCAGACACAGTTGCCACTACAAGCCTCTCTTAGACGGTGAGCGATGCAAAACAGCTATAGCCGCATCCCAAGCATACCCAACATCATCAATCATCAGCATGACCAACATCCCCAGCATCATTGGCATTGACAGCATCATACGCCATTTGCACTAAAACATTATCAACATCCCCAACATCACCAGCATCATCAGCATCCATATCATTGCAAGCAGGCTTTGCCAATCACAACCGCCATGTCTTACCAGCATCACCTGCAGTGGCTTGCATTGCTGACATCAACTGCATCATCCTCATCCCCTGCATTACCTGCATCACCGCACTGAACTGCATCACCTGCATTGCTTGCATCATGTGATCACTCATCTCTTGCATCTCTTGCTTCAATCCCGATGCAGACAAGACTGTGCAAGCACGTCCACCCCTTCGATGGCTCAGATTGACTTCGACTTGGTTTTTTGGCTTGGCAATTGGCTTGACACATGTTTCTGCTGTTGCTCACTCACATGTTGTTATGTTTCTTAGACCAGATGCCATCCCCCCAGTGTTTCTGAGACAAGATGCTACCGGCCCCCTCAGTTGAGCATAACACGGCACCAATAGGGATTGCGACCTTCTCGTGGTCGATCTCAGGATCCTGAAGGAGACAGGCCTGGCATCTCGCCCGGTTTCTCGATGCGGTTCGCAACCAGTGGCCGTTTGGGTTTCAGCTGGGCTTTAGGATTGCCTTGAGCATATTGTCAAATACTCCTTTAGTTGGTGGTTTGGGGACTTGAACCCAAATGGCTGACTTGAGCCTGCAACCTCCCCACGCCAGCTTGGGTTGCGCTGCCATGTCTGCAAGCTAACGAAAGGATGTCTAATGTCAGTAAAGTACATGTTCGTTATGCCAAGCAATGCCCTTTAATATTCTATCCCCAATGATGTCATAAGTGGCAAGAAGGCATGTGGGGAAAATGGTTGGCAACATCCGAGTTTGCCTTACGAATTGAGTTCCGCGACTTCAAATGGCCATGGGTCATAACCTATGCCGATCCCATTTTGGGGCGGAGCACCCATGTACCACCTGTTTTGATGTCCACCAGCAGGGTTTTGACAACCACAGCCAAATTTTGGTCGCAAAGAGCCGCAGGCAGGGCGCGGGAGATGCGGATCCGCAACGACGCTTGGCTGTGTCGATTTGGGTGGTCAAAAGTTTTCACCAGGGGACTCAGGGGACCAGGTTTTGGTTCATGTTTCCACACCAGGGTTCCATTTGGGGTGCATATTTTTGACCCACAGCCAGCTTGACCAGCCTGAGACTTGGGCTGGGGCGCGGTGTGGGGTCCTTTCTCCGTTTTGTGGCGCTGTTTCTGGGCTGGAGGTTTGAATTCCCTGGTCCGCATCCAAATCCCCAGAGACCGACCCCGTCTTTATCTCAGGCTTAGCAAGCCACATTTTCTTTCACATGTTACACTGGGGCCTATGTTGGGAAGATCCTAAGTAAAAGCCAAGAGCTAGATTGGACTTCTCCAAGTTGGGCGGGTTTTCAGGTGCAGGATCGATCCAGACGCCAAAAAACAGAAAAAGAGACAAGGTCTGGGGTTGAGGTCCTTGGAATTTTCGGGGGTGTCAGGTGACGGACCGGCCCCCGAGAGGACCCGAGAAAAATCCCCGGGCGGCTCGCTCCCCTCGCCGGCGACTGAGGCCTTTCAAAGGTATGACGTCACCGGGGACGGGGTGCTGGACATCGAGGAGCTGGCCGGAGCGCTCAAGGCGCCGCGGAAAAAAAGTCGGATCCGGGGGGGGGGGAGATCCGTTTTGTTGGGAGGGGGGGGGGGGAACATTGGGTGCCTTTTTTTTTGTATATATATATATATTTTTTATTCTATGTCATTTTTACTGCTACTGCTATTGTTATTGTTATTTTTATTGTTATTGTTATTGTAATTATTGTTATTATTGTTCTTATTATTATTATTATTATTATTATTATTTATTATTATTATTATTATTATTATTATTATTATTATTATTATTATTATGA